TTACTCCTCATACAATGAAGGTTACAGGAGTCGAAGTAAGCAGTCCTCCAGCTTGACAGTATTTTGACATATTGTTGAAATAACTGCTTGTAGTGCAGACACGGACTATGTTATTTCCTAATGTCAGTTATTCCAAAATAACGCTGCTGTGTAGACGTACTGTGAGCAACTACAGTGCTCACCTCTGAAAATTACAAGCTCCCATTCACTTCAGCAGAGTTACTCTTGCCTAGCTGACAGGGCACTAGGCTAGGACTCAGAAAGACTAGGAAAATACAATCTAGATGGGGCTACTATAAAGTGGGTGCAGAACTGGCTGGATAACTGTTCTCAGGAGTAGTTATTAATGGTTCACAGTCATGCTGGAAGGGCATAACACGTAGGGTTCCACAGGGGACACTTTGGGGACCTGTTCTGTTCAAAATCTTCATCAACAATTTAGATATCGGCATAGAGAGTACACGTATTAAGTTTGCAGATGCTACCAAGCTGGGAGAAGTTGCAAGTGCTTTGGAGGATAGGGTCATAATTCAAAATTGATCTGGACAAACTGGAGAAATGGCCTGAGGTAAACAGGATGAAGTTTAATAAGAAGAAATGCAAAGTGCTCCACTTAGGAAGGAACAATTAGTTTCACACGTACAGATTGGGAAGTGACTATCTAAGAAGGAGTACTGCAGAAAGGAATCCAGGGATCATAGAGGACCACAAGCTAAATATGAGTCACCAGTGTGATGCTCTTGCAAAAAAAAACCAAACATGATTCTGGGATACATTAACAGGAGTGTTGTGAGCAAGACATGAGAAGTCATTCTTCCACTCTATTCTGCACTGATTAGGCCTCAGTTGGAGTATTGTGTCCTGTTCTGGGCACCACATTTTAAGAAAGATGTGGAGAAACGGATTGGGTCCAAAGGAGAGCAACAAAAATGATTAAAGGAAAACATGAGCTATGAGGGAAGACTGAAAGAACTGAGTTTGTTTTAGTTTGGAAAATAGAAGACTGAGAGGGGACAGGACAGCAGTTTTCAAATACATAAAAGGGTGTTACAAGGAGAAGAGGGGAAAATTGTTCTCCTTGGCCTCTGAGGATAGGACAAGAAGCAATGGGCTTAAATTGCAACAAGGGATATTTAGGTTTGACATTAGAAAAAACTTTGTGGCAGGGTGCTTAAACACTGGAATAAATTGCCTAGGGAGGTTGTGGAATCTCCATCATTGGAGATATTTAAGAGCAGGTTAGACAGACATCTATCAGGAATGAAGATGGTGCTTGGTCTGTCCATGAGAGCAGGGGACTGGACTTGATGACCTCTCGAAATTCGTTCCAGTACTAGGATTCTAGGATTCTCAACTATGCCAGTAGCCTTTTGAATGACCTTGGGCAAATTACCCAACTTCTCTGTGCCTCAAATTTGCCATCTTTAAAATAGGACCAATGAGGAGTCCTTCCTTTCTAAAGTGCATTGACATCTACTGATGAACAAAGGTTTATTATTACGAACAACGCCCGTTTAAGTGAGATCAGAAGGAGGCCGGCAATTTCATTCAACCTCATGCCAAAGGCATCTCAAGGGATACAGAGTGAGAGTTTGGCAGCCATACAATGGAAAGGGTTTCCTTCCAGTGCCCTGGATGGAATTGTCCCTTCTGACCTCGCTACCTTAGTGAACAAACACCAAATTGCCTTTGCCACAAGGGGAAGTGTCCCCTGTATGCTGGCTTTCCCTTGTGGGGCAGCAAAAGTCGGGACAATCTTTACTACATCTTCATATCTTAAAATGACCACAGTGATTTTCAAACTCTGCTGTTTCAGTATCGAGGCAACACAAGGGCCCTCGGTAGCTCAGGAGGCTGCCAATGTAACATAGAGGTAAAAGATTGACTCTAGCCCACATCAGTAGTCCTGTAAAGTAGCTGCCCGCTGAGACATGCCAGTGGGAAATGAATTTGGTGGGTTTCTGTTCAGTTTGCAGGGGACTCCATCATAAAATCCACCCCCCATCAGAGGCAATCTCAACAGAGGCCAGCGATTGAATGAGCCATGGGGGGGACCATGGTCTCACCCTAGAGAAGATTCCTCCAGGTCAGGTCTGGCTTGAGTCATGGCAATGCAGGACAACCCTGGGTGGGTGACAGCAGGGCATCCTTCTGCAGAGCTGTGCGGCTGGCATAGAACTGCACAGCTGAAGGCTCCTCTTGCTCTGCTCAACCTTTGATTTTGGTTGGGGTGGATATTTTCCAGTCCCCGCACAGCCTCTGACTCAGCCAGGTCACTTCCCCTTAGGCTGAGGTAGGTGTGAAGTGTTTACTCATTTATCTCTGCCAGGGAGCTCACCGCAGATCACACTGACACAGGAAACAGCGTGCATGACGATGGCTGCCGCACGCCTGGACAAAGACTGGGGTGCACAGCATGGGGGTGGGGGAAATTGTACGACAGCAGCACGCAGTAAATCTTGCCTGGACATACTGCTTCCCCTAGTGACAGGGCAGAAATAACTCGCTGGCATGGGCAGCAGATAGCTGGGAGTGGGAGGAAGGGAGCGTTAGCTCTACAGCGGCTCATAAGTACGCCTGCAAGTTTGTCCTGGAGTTTCTGCCGCTGCAGCAACCGGTGTGGCTGACACCGGGGTCACCCTCCCTGGGGCCAGCTGCTTGAGCAGAAGCAGTGATCCCGGAGGTTGCCCGAACGGAGGTATCTGGGGGCCTCAGAGCAGCAGCCAGCCAGGGGCAGTCATCCCCCCCCACCCCTGCCGCCAAAGCCATCGCCCTCCCACCGACCCCCCCAGCCTCCCAGAGCAGCTAAGCATTAGTCAGAGGTATTCATAGTAAGTCATGGAACGGTCATGGGCTATAAACAAAAACTCATGGCCCATGTGGCCATGACCTTTCATGACTTTTATTAAAAATACCCATAAAATGTAGCTTTACTCAGAAGCAGGCTCATCCGCCAGAGACTGGTTTCCACAGCATGGCTGTTTGAAGGATGGGTATTTGGGGCGCTGTATTTTCCAACCACTTTTAAATGGTCTTTTTAGGCCAGGGGTGGGCAAAAGGGCCTCCACAAGCTGGATCCGGCCTGCCAAGTGGCTTGATCCGGCCCACGGAGGCCCTGCTGCTCCCCCGCCCCCAGGCCAATTAGGACCTGGGGGCGGGGAGGCTGCATGAAGCTTCCTTCGCCCTGCCCCCGCCCCGCGTGGCTTGCAAGGTGGGGGGGAGAGCGGAGGAGGCTTCCCATGCTCCCTGCCCCCAGGCCCTAATTGGCCTGAGTGTGGGGGAGCGTGCCAAGCGTCTTCCAGGAAATGGGTGCCTACTGGGAAGGGGGGCAAAGGGGATCCCCCACCCCCAGACCTATCATGGTCTGGGGGCGGGGTAGCCCCGCCCCTTCCTGTTTAGGCCCTGCCCTTCAAAAAAGTTTTGAAGTGGCCCCTGGGTAAAAATTATTGCCCACCCCTGTTCTAGCCCCAGGCATGAAGTTGGGTGGGTTCAACTGTCGTATGTGAAGCAGCAGATGTTGGCTATTCCTGCAGACATCAGGGTAGATACGAATAAATAAACATTAGCTTTGTTTTCTCCAGACCCTTCCATCCAAGGATCCCAAAGGGTGCTACAAGCCTTAATGAGTTATGCCTCCCAATGGTTTGCATATTACCCTCATTTTATAGATAAGGAAACTGAGGCACAAAGAGGTAAAGCTGCATGGCCACAGCCAGACAACAATTTGGTATCAGAGCCAGGGTCTAGACCCAGAAGTCCTAACGCCCAGCCCTGTGTTGTACTGCCCAGCACTATGCTTCCAGGTGGCTGTACGGGCGATCGCATTTCCGATCAAGCATTCCTACATCAGAGGCAAAACAGTTAGATTATACTGACCACTGGGGCTGTCAATTTTGCCTTTGCAAAGTGACTAGCATATTGACAAATCCAGTGCCCCACCCGGCGGCTACAAACATTCGGGGATAGGTCAGCCTCTTTCACAGTCACACAAACAGCCAGATAGAAACAGACCAAACAGCCTGGTCTCGCCCTGCATTTTCCATTGCTTTCTGTAGGAACTAGCAACTTTCCTTACCAAAGTCTCCAGCTCCCATTCCCACCTGCTTCCATGGCAGGGCCAGTCCTGTGTATCAGGGAACAGTAAGGGGAGTTTGTTCCGGGATTTAAACTGGACATTCTCTGCTGCACTCAGCTGCTCACACCAACCCACTCCCCCACCGGAGCTTCACACTACACCTGTTCCCCCTTTCCCCTGCCTTGTCCTCTGCAGCACTTTCCCTTTCTTCTTGTTTTCCTCTAGCTCTGTGGTTCCCAAACTTTTCTGCATCACACCCCCTTTTTGATTTTTGAGAAACTCTCACCCCCCCCCCCCAAAAAATAGCAGCAAAACTTGTTGAGCAAAAAAAAATAAAGAAAAGGAACTGAGTGGGGCCGAAAAACAAAAATAGCAGCAAAACTTGGGAGGGTGATTGATGGGGGGAGGCTTGGGTCACCTCACGCCCCCCCTAGAATTTCTTCACCACTACCACCCCGTTTGGGAACCCATGCTCTAGCTGCTCCCCTTCTAAATATAATCCCCCCAACAAAATGGAACCAACATGCCATCTGCAGCCACCACATGGGTTCTCTCTGCTTGCGTGTTCTGCTCCTTCGCCCACCATGTGTCTGGCTTACCTGCTTAGACTGTAAGCCTCTCAGGACAGGGACAGGATGCTACTGTTTTTAGCACGGCTAACAGCCTCTGTCTTAGCTGGCCCTTGTTCATGACCTATTCACCCAGCCTATCTCTAGCTAAGCTATAGCTGTATAGATAGAAAAGCCATCTCCACCTAAGCCCTATTCACTCAAACAAGGCGCTAATGTCAAAGCTGCCCTGGTACATTTAAATGCAGATTTGACAAAGGTCTGGAGTCTGGGGGAAAATCCACCCCTTGCAGAGAGGTGTGACTTGAGATTTGGTAAAATTTCCTGTTTTAACCCCCAGACGCCAGCGCCTCTACCTTCATGATTGGTACATATGTACCGATTGTAAATTACAGGCTGTTTGGTGTTCCTGCCTCCAAAAGTTAAGGCCATACCTCAGTCATGGCAGATTTGACAAAGGTCTGGAGTCTGGGGGAAAATCCACCCCTTGCAGAGAGGTGTGACTTGAGATTTGGTAAAATTTCCTGTTTTAACCCCCAGACGCCAGCGCCTCTACCTTCATGATTGGTACATATGTACCGATTGTAAATTACAGGCTGTTTGGTGTTCCTGCCTCCAAAAGTTAAGGCCATACCTCAGTCATGCA